TTGTTACCCATTATGTGACTTCTCACTGTGCTCTCACTAAGACGGAAAATGATGCTGAAGGGAAAAAAGTAAGAGGGATTGAAATGGAGAGACCTACTCTGTCCCACAGACCAAGTGAGATTGGCTCTAATCATTGCTCCTGGCAGGTATTTGTCTAACCCACTGCAGAGACCATGAGTGATGGAGACTCCAGTCACCCAAGACAGTGTCCTCCAGTGCTTTGGTATTTATCCTTACTAGTGTTACCCAACCACTAACCTAAACCTACCCCGATGTGATTCACATCCACTACTCCACCATGGGCAAGGGGAATAGACTGTTTTTTTCCTCCTGGTAACTGTGGGGCATTTTTAAATACATGAGGACCTTTAGCTTGTGTTCTCACACCCCACCTGCAATGCTTTCTTCTTTTTAGACTAGCAGGCCCTAATTTCTTGAGTATTTCCTAGTAAGTCACATTTTCTAGACTGGTAGTCATGTCAGAGCTCTGCTCCAACTGGGCAGTTTTGCTGCTGAGACCTTCCCAGCCCTGCGTGAGGCTACAGAGATACTTCATACACCTGGTAGACTTTGTCCCTCTTGACACATCCTGGGACAACGACTCTTTTTTCCCACCAACAGCCAGACTTTATTGACAGGAATGATTCACTACAAACCCTGCATCTCTTCCCAAAGATTTGCCACCTAGTCAACCCTATCTACATGTGATTTTCCTTTTGTAGTACTCTGCACTTGTCCTTGCTGAACTTTATCCAATTTTTAGACAATATTTTTTTTATTTTTGCCAAGGTGTTTTTAGATGCTAATCCTGTTCTCCAGTGTGTCTGCAGTCACTCCCAGCTTTGTGTAATCTGCAGATTTAATAAGTGTGCTCTCTTTCATCGTCCAGGTCACTAATGAATGTGCTGAGCAGAACTAGACTATATAGATCCAGCAGAGCTCCGCCCACAGTGTCCTTCTGTTTTTCACAGAATGCCATTAATAACTATTCCCTGGGTATGGTTTTATAGTAGTCTCATTTAATCATGTTTCCCTAGTTTATTTATGAGAAACTTGTTTGAGATGGTGTCAAAAGCTATAATAAAGCCCAGATAAATGACATCTAACAACTTCTGCATTGTGAAAAGAAATTAATTTGATTTAATATGATTTATTCTTGTCTCTTCTGTATCTGCTGCTGCTTATATTTTTGTTATCTTCCACAAACATGCAAACTGTTTCTTTGTTTGTTTTAGAGTTTTTCAGAGGATGTAGCATCCTTTTGCTACATCTTTCCTTTTGCTGTATCTTTCTACCCTTGAAGACAGGCACTGTGCTTGCCTTTGTCCTGACTTCTGGCACCTCTCTGGGTTCTCACAAGTGACCAGGAGGGAGGTATCTGAGATGGCTTCAGCTGGTTTTGTACGGAATTTAAAAGGTGGTTTGTCCCACCCTGCTGGTCTGGAAATACCTGACTTGGACAGAGGCCTGATCTCACCCTGGAACGGACAGAGAAGAGGATAGCATACCTTTGTAGTGATAACGTATCATAGTATTAACTGTACTAATTCTCTGTGCATAGTAGGCGGTTTTAACAAGGACTAAAGCAAAAATCAAACTGCCTCTTTCAGTGTCATTTTTCAATAACTTTCTCTCTGTTTGAGCAACATTTTTCCAGACTGTCTTCTTGGTATTAATATACATATAAAGGGTTAACAATTTTTTTTTTTTTATCTTCTGCAAGTTTCATTTCATTTTTATGCCCTGATGTTTCTAACATTTCTGCCCGTGTGTTTACACTATTTTTTTAACTCCTGCTCAGTAATCTTTTAGTGTTCTTTCTTCTTGTCTTTGAGGTAAATGAAAAGCTCATGATGCTGCCAAGTCTTCTGATCCTTCTTCTGCATTGAGATGTTATTGTGCCTGTGCCTTTTAAGCACAAAATATTGTTTCTTCGAGAAACTACAGCTCACCTTGATTTCTTTTTCCTCTAAACTCTTCTCCATGAATTCTTGCCTAGCAGGTTTTTTTAACGTACTGAAGCCAGGCATTTTTGTTTTTCTATCCCAAATCCCTTGCGTATGGCAGATTTCATCATTTCACAGGCACTCTTACACGAGTTTCCTTCCACCTTCTTACCCCCAACACATCCCTCTCTGGAGGCACTTCCCTACTGATTACTTGACCTATCAGTTATGCAAGAATATTGCTCCAAAGGCACCAGGACTCTCTGTCTCCTGCTGCTTTCCTTTCCTAGCAGATATCTCATGCTTGTACTCTCCCATTACCATTGAGTCAGTTGTTATCAGGTAGCCTGATCCATTTAATCTTCCTGGTTTGGGGTTTGTTGTGCCCTCACCCATGGTTTTTTTTTTTTTTTTTTTCCCTTTTATTATTAAGCAGAAAATTTAGCACTTCTTCTGTGTTCTGGTCCTCAGAGCAAGTATATGCATCATTCTTGGTATACCAAGAGATGCTGCCTCTACCTTTTCTCTGCTGGTCCATATATAAGCTATGCATCTTTATATTAGTATTCCAGATCTATGTCTTACTACAACAAGTTCCAGTTATGTCAGTTAAATCATCACTTTTGTCTTAAATTAAATCTGAGATCTTAAATAAGACATAGGTTCTGTTGTTAAAAGCAGTATATTCAGCAATATTGCATTAGATGATAGCTAAGGTATTCAGAGGTTTTAACCCTATTTCCTGGTCAATCTGTGACTGTATTATCACCCCTTCTTTTTAGACCTGTGCCCAGGCTGCTTCTGTCTTTATTCTTTCCTCTGGTTTTGTCCCCTGTGTCTCCTACCCCGAGCCTAACTCAGAAGTCCCTCTCACTAAGCAATGGGCCAGTTCCTCCTTTCCTGAGCTGATGGCCATCCCTGTTCAGCCGTTGGTGTAACATCACCTGGTTGGTGAAGATGCTGGGGTCCTCTTAGCAGCATCACACGTGACCCCGATATGTTGTTTCTGTCCCTGCCTGAGCTTCCTTGGGGTCACTCCTGTCCATCTAGGTAGTGCCACAGAGCCAGGGAGGTGGCAGAACACTTTGGATCCAGCTTCTGGGCATTTTGCAAGAGTCTCCCTTTATACTTGTGCTCTTGGCGTTGCGGGCTCTTGCTACAGGCTCTTCTGCCTAACCGTCGTGGTTTCAGCTGGGATAGAGTTAATTTTCTTCCAAGTAGCTGGTATAGTGCTGTGTTTTGGATTTAGGATGAGAATAATGTTGATAACACACTGATGTTTTAGTTGTTGCTGAGCAGTGCTTACACTAAGTCAAAGACTTTTCAGCTTCTCATACTGCCATTCCAGCAAGCAGGCTGTGGGGGGCACAAGAACCTGGGAGGGGGCACAGCCAGGATAGCTGACCCCAACTGACCAGAGGGATGTTCCATACCATAGAATGACATAAACTGGGGAGAGTTGGCTAGGAGGCAGTGATCACTGCTCGGGGACTGACTGGGCATCGGTCAGTGGGTGGTGAACAGCTGCATCACTTGTTGTTCCCCTCCTCCTCAGGTTTTGTTCCTCTCTCTCTTGTTGTTTTACTTACCATTAACATATTATTATTGTTATTATTATTATTATTATTATTGTTATTATTATTATTAAACTGTTCTTATCTCAACCCACGAGTTTTCTCACTTTTGCTCTTCTGATTCTCTCCCCTATCCCACCAGGGGGGAGTGAGCGCGCGGCTGGGTGGTGCTTAATTGCCAGCTGGGGTTAAACCACAACACTAACCCAAGCCTTGCATCCACGCCTGCAGGAGCAGACGTGCAGGCTGCAAGCTTGAAGCTGTTGCCTTCTTCTACCTTTCTGGTGCACAGCTCACTGAGCAGCATCCACTGCTAGAAGATAACTCCTGAAAAGAAACCAGTCAACCAGACTTGACTTGCTTCAGGGTTTTTCCTTGTTTCACAGATTCTGATGATCCTAGAAAAAAAACCCTTTCTCACCCTCTTCCTTGCTAACCCCCAGCTCTCACTGCCTCCTGGCTGCCTGTATGTCTCCCTCTCTGAATTGCAGGAATCTGGGGAATTCACCTGCACAACTCTTGTCCCAGGGAAGTGGGTAGCCAGTTCCCTTAGATGCTTTACCTGCAGGGTAGGTTTAGTCTGCTGTAAGTCACCACTGCTAGTAAGAGGAGGGACCCCATTGCCTGTCCTCACCCTTCGTGTTTGCTGCTGCCCGTCCCTTGTGCAGCTTGGTGGGGAGCTAAATCAGAGAAGTGATCGGATTAAGCCTATCCCAGCCCAAAAACACTGGCATGGAGGAGGGCAGAGCTGCCTTCAGCAGCGGTATCAACCAGCTTCAGTTGCTGGTGAGACCAGTGTCGTGCTGTGCCCCTTCAGTCGTCCTCGAGGTGGGTTTGGTTGGAGTGTCTCCTTTGCTTCGGTGACAGGCCTGGAGTTGTGGCAGGAGCATCCCCACGGTTCATCAGTTCCCCGTTTTACCGGGGAGGTCAGGAGTTAATCGTGACCTTTTATTCCCTTGCTGAGAAGAGCAGCTGGTGCCCTCAAGTGGTAAATCGCAGAAGGAGAGCAGCTCTGGCCGTGCAAGCCCGGCTTTGGGCTCCTGCCCCGGGCGGGATGCTGGGCTGGGGCTGTTGGATGCCTGCAATGTTTTTGGCACTTCTAACCATGCTCTCTCCCCCTTGCAGGACAAGACGGTGTGGTGACCTTAGTGGGAAGCAGACATTGTTCCCAGCGGAGTGGGGACCCCGGCAGCAGCTGTACCTGGACAGCCATAGACGCTCCCCACCACTTCGTCCACCGACCTTTCTGTGGGGCTGGCTGTGGCCTGTTCGCACCAAACATCCTGCCTTGACTGTGCTTTTGATCAGTTGGAGCCCAAAAAACATCCCTGTGAGATTAGATGGGGCTTGCTTTGGATCTGCAGCCCCACTCCAGCATGGCCCCAGGGGCTGCAGGGGGCTGCAGTGGGCGGCAGAGCCAAGGTCCAGGGAGCCTATCGGGTCCGGGGCTGCTGCCCTGAGGGGATGCACGGGGACGGCAATGCCCATCACACAGGACAACGCAGGGGTCTTCCTCCCCCTCCTGTGCCAGTGGCTGCAGAACAGCCGTCGGGAGGGGGCCGAGGGCACCGAGCAGCAGCTCTGCCGCTCAGCCGTCCAGAAGCTGAGCGAGTACATCCAGCTCAACTTCTCTGTGGATGAGAGCAAACTGCAGCCAGGGAGCTGCGGGACTTCAGATACGGAGATCTGCACCATGTACCTGGCCCAGGAGATGAGAAAAACTGAGGTTCTCGGGTTGAGCTTTGGGAACATCCCTGCTCTGGGGGACTACGGGGAGAAGCGCCGGGGAGGGAAGAAGAGGAAGGGGCATAAGGGGCCAGTGCTTGACGTCGGGTGCATCTGGGTGACGGACTTGAAGAAAAACAGCCCGGCCGGGAAGTGCGGGAGAGTGCGCCTGAAAGACGAGATCCTTTCTCTGAATGGCCAGTTGATGGTTGGCGTGTCACGGGTGAAAGGAAAGGGGGGAGGGGGGCCTGCCAGCAGCTGCCTCTTGCGGCGCGTGGTGCAGGTTGCGGTCGGTACTGATTTATGTCCGAGAGCAGAGGTTTTGACCTCGGCTTTCCAGCCCCTGGGAGAGTTCTGGGTTCCTTCTTAAAGTCTGTAGAAAATAAGTAACAAAAGCAAATTGATAATTAGCCTACATCTGCTACTCGCACATCCACTGGAAAATTTTGAGGGGTCATTGTGTCAAAAAATAGTATGTCGTAAGCATCAGAGGGTCTACACTAAAACAGGAGTCTTCCTGGATTTGGATAAAACTGTTTTCTTAAGTAAAAATGAACACAGACTCAGCAGCACTGGAAGATTTTTTTACAGGTGCATCTTATTTTTGTTGAATCATTTGAGTTGAGGGAAGTTTTTTTGACAGCTAAATGTTGTCTGAGACTTCTTCAAAGCAAGACATTTTTGTGTTTTCCAGATTGGAACAACTTCATTTTAATAAATTCCCTTTGATTTTATTGCACTTGCTCTCTTTTGCTGTCTCCTGTCCCAGAAAACTTGAAACCTTTAAGAGTTCAAATCTGAAATGAAGGTTCTTGCAATGATATAGACTATTCTTGCTTTTTTATTTTGGCTGCTGCATGCTGTAAAATCAGTTATTGGCTCAGCTTTGCTCTTTGTGGGCCGGCAGACTTGCTCACATTTCCCTTTGCAAAGGCAAAGACTTTTCTCTGCTAAAGATGAGGATGCAAATGTTCATTCATACCTGAGGTTGCAACATACCGGAGGGCATGAAATCCTTGCCCTCTTGCCAAAACAGGTTCATCCTGGGGATGAGCAGTTTTGGAAACAGAACACTAGTGAAGTGGCCCTTCTTTAAAAGGAAACTATGTTGATTTGCAGCCTGGGTAATCCAGCACGTTTTATGGGCCTTGGGAGTAATATCCCATTTTAGGCCAGCTGAGAAAATGCTCCAGCAAGTGAGATTTTCAACAGGGGCAAATAACAGGTTTTAACTGAAATAAGCTGTATACTGAAAAAAAAAAAAAAAAAAAGAGTTGAATCTTTACAGATTTGTCCAGTGAGAATATAGCATTGATGGGAGGACTCATTGGTTATTTATCTGCTGCTTTAGTTGTCGGGCTTGCAAAGACACAATGGCCTCAGCGGAGTAACACTTCCAAGTTATAATCCTGCAAAGTGCATGGCCTTTGCTCCCAACAGGCAGTGAATGCAGGAGTGGTTTGGGGTGACCGTTGCTCCTGATTCTGCTACGTGGCAGAATAAAAGCCGTGACTCTGCGATCTGTGGGTGCTGGGCAGGTCAACCTGGCTGTGATTTTGCAGGTGTGATAAGAGCCCTTTGTAATTTCAAGCCTGTAATTCAATGACACTATAAATATTGGCACTGTGGCAGTATCGATCAGTGGCACCCTGAATTTGAGAGGTTTTGTGGCAAAAAGCAGTTAGTTTGCTGTTTCCCCTTTGGCAGATGTCACTGTTCCTAAAATCCAAGGGAATTGCTTGCAGTGGCCAGCAATAATGTTATCTTATTATTAATGCAAAATGAAAGATAATACCCAATGGAGTCCCAAATGTTTGGATATCTATTCTTTTTATCCTATCCCTGAAGGCTTCATTTTGGGCTTGTTCCTTTTGGAAAGCTCTGTTATTAGACCAGCAAGCTGTGACTGCTGCTAATGAGAACCAAGTGCTCCATTTTCCTTACCTGAGCGGGTTTTTTGGCCATTATGAAGGCAGAGTTTTGGTGGTAACGGGGCCAGTGTTGTTGTTCATAAGATCCTGTCTTAGAATATTCTACATCCAATTTAGGCCAAAATTTAGGGCATCTCTTATTCAAAACCTGATTTATTTTCAGCATCCAAAGCATCTTTGCCTAACTCACTGTCAACTGCTATTCGACAAGGGTGATGTTGATGGATGACAGTTTGGGACCTTGAGGACGCTCTCAGTTTGGAGTGCTTGGTTTTGCCTCTCAGGGAGCTGGCTGGTAGCTCCAACCCTGTGTTACTACCTTGTTAATCTGATCAGCTCCAGGATGCTTTGAGAGTCCTTCAGTAGGTTTCTCCATTGGGGTGCTCAGAAGGGACATAATTCTGTTTAGGTTTATAATAGGCTGAAAGGCAACACCAGCTTGCCTTCTGGGAAGACCGTTTCAAAGAGTAAGATTTCCTAGTGTATTTCCATATAGCTGCTGCGGTGGCAGTAGCAGAGCCCCTTGGCTCTTCAAGGTGTTGGGGCAGGACAGCACACTGAATAGTAGTCCTGGGTTGATTTCAGTCTGCCTAATTATTCTCTGGCTGGGTGAGAAACTCTTCCCGGTCAATACAAAGGGGTGTGAGTGCTGTGATTTGCAGTGTGAGGTACTTAGTGTAGCCTGCGCATCGTCAGTGAAATTAAAATACTGCCTTAGCGCCTGTAGCACCAGGCTGGATTGGGCAAGCAAAATCACTGCTTGCATGTTTATTCCTCACCTGCCAAGTGGGCCACGGCAGCCTCATCTTGCCTGGTGAGCATGTTGTCCACACTGGTGTTTTAGGGAATCTCCTGATTTATTTCCATAACAATGGGGAATCTGGCACGAGGGTCTCACAACTCTGCTGCTTTCCTGGGTGTTACCACCTCTGCAGCAAGGTTGGCAGAAGTGTGCTCATGTACCCTGGGCTTTCTGTCACCTCACCTCCAGCTCCATCCCACCACGCAAACCCTCCCTGTTCCAAGGGGCTAAGACAATACACTGGGCAACGGGAGAGGAGAGGTAGTGGAACACAGTCCCTCTGCTGGCTGTCCTATGGATGTGGCCAGCCTCTAGAGGACACAGGGGCAGACAGCTGGAGCCATAACATTGGGCAGCTCTGGACAGATTCTTTCAGCACCTGCCTGTTGTAGGTCCTGTGCCTACAGGTCCTCAGATCTCGGAGCAGTGACAGGGTCAGACACAGTGCAGAAGAGCAGCACACTGCTGCTTGGAGCAGCAGGCTGTGGGTATCACTCATCTGTCTCTCTCTGCTAGGGAAGCTGAATCTGACTTCTTTAAAGAAAAGTTATTTATTTAAATTCCACCTGATTGCCATGTAAACAGCAGAAACAGGTTGATTATTGCTGAGCTTGCTTCTTTTTTTTTTCTTTCTTTTCATTTAGAGAAACATTATGCAGTAATATAATCATCAAAGCTCTTTGCTTAACAGGGTATTATTACATTAGAGAGGAATTAGGTAGGTGGTGGCATTTTTGGTGATATTAGTGACTGAAGGAAAATTACTGCTCTCTTCAGAGTTAGCAAATTGTGTGTGTCTATCAGACACAATTGCAGGGAAATGAGCTGTATTGGAATACTGAATAAAGGTTAGTCAAAACTCTGCATGTTTATTTATCTTCTGTCTATACAACTGTAACTCCAAAACACATGGGTTATGTTCCCCCAGACAACAACTTCCTATGTATTTTGGAACTAGTCCTCTCATTTTGGGCTATTACTCATTTACTGGAGGGAGACTGTTAGTATTCCTGCAGATGACAGATGAATCCTTCATTTCTTGAGCATGACTGAATGGGGCTTCATTGAGCAAGTCCAGGGAGGATTGCAAAAGAATTATTTTGTCATGAATATCACTCAGTTTGAAATATTTGATTATGAATTTCATCAAGCATAGCTGCAGTGCTTGGACACAGCTACCGTATACATATAATCTTTAAAATCAGTGCTGAATAGATTTCCAAAGTCAAACTGTTTTTGAAGAAAGCAGAGTAAGATATGTTACAAGTGATGACAGTGTGGTATAAACATGAGATATTATTATAATTTTGTCATTGAGGAAACCCAACCACTGCTTCAAAATATCGTGTTCCTCATCGCCAAAAATGACCAAACATCGCCATGTGTGGGAATACAGTCAGAGAACTGGCTGGCTTCTTTTTAACCCACAACCTGGAGTTGCTTCCAAAAAGCGAACAGTTTCAACAGCCGTACCTTTGCACAGCGTTTTCTTAGTGTCTCCTCTTCAGACAGTGTCCTGGGGAAGCTGCTAGGACTCCTCCCCAGCACAAGATATGGCATGTCAACTGTCAGGGAAATCAGTTTATTTTCAAAGATGCTGAGAAAGACCTTCAGAAATCAGATGTGCGACGGAGAGTGAGCTTCAAGTGCCGCTACTGAATGTGAAGCTTTGACCTTACCTGAAGCCGGGGCTTTCCCGCAGAGCCAAGGTCTTTCCTGAGTGCTTGCTGCTACTGCATATCACATCTACATGCTCCAGGATAGCTGGAAGTATGAAGGTAACATCCTGGTCCTCTTAACAGATCAATGCTATTAGTAGTTGTGTGATATATGGACATTCTAAGCACAGTCCTGCTTCTCTGTAAGTGCTAGCAGCTCATTACAGAGCACAATACTTAATGTCTAACCAAATTACAGGTCTAAAAACGTGCAAAGCACTTTGTGCTGCTTGCCTGCAGCAGTCAATAACAGTCCTGGGCTCAGCTGGGTGAAATCTTGAGGTTCTGTGTCAAAACAGTCCTTGCTGGTGCTGGAAAGCCAGTCTGCAGTCCCTGGTTGTATTTGGAGCCAAATTCTGCTCTGAACAGTGGTCTTCAGGAGGGTGCTTTTCTTCTTTGCCCCCTTGTTGGGAGCCCTGCGTGCAAGGAGATGCAGAGCGGTGCATCTGCTGAGGGGATGGGAATGGAAAACGGGGACCTTTGCTGTGTCTGAGTAGAGCTCCTCAAAAATCTGACACTGTGGTTTGAAAACTGATGTTTCAGAAGAGCACACCTTTCAAGGCACTTTTTATTGAGCTTCCCCCCCCTTCCTCAGAAGTTTGAACTGAATGATTTTTTATCATAAACTGCTTTGCCCCTGCAATAGAAGGATTTTCTTGTTGGGAGAAACCCTCCCCGAATGTGGTCACTCTTTGATATCAAAGTGCAATGCTCCAATTTTGCATTTTCCATGGGGCACTGCTTCCTGCCACGCTGTGGTGAGACATTGCCACTGCAGGAGGCTGGCTGTCCTCGCCATGGCCACTTTGTCCCTGTGCTGGTGGCTGTGATTGTCTGGAGCATCTGCAGGATTTTTGTAGCACCATGTTACTCAGCAGTGTGTTCAAAACTCTTCCAGGTGCTCCAATTGGCGTGTGGGGATGGCATGCTGTGGGAACGGGGATCAAAGGCTGTGGTCCTTCTGCTCTTCGGCTGGGGCCCTCAGTTTAAGTTTTTGGTAACAAATGCATTCTTTAGTAGGGTCGGACATTAGGGTATATGAATGCCTGTGTTATGGTGAAAGGGGAGGTTTTCAGGTTTCTGTGCCTGTGATGGGCTCGTGTTTCTCTGGAAGTTATTGTGGATTTATTTTCTGCTTGGCAGAGCAATCCCCTTTATACATCCCTTTTCTTAGGGAAAAATCACCCCCAGGAAACTATTCCTGGTCATCGCAGAAATCTTTGTCTCACCACATCCCCACCTCTCGGGCATGTCAGGTTGCATGGATTGATTGCTCTGTTTTACTGTGTTTCCTCACCTCCTTCCTAAAGCAAAAGTGCTGCCAACACAAAGTGCTGCTCAGTATAAGCAGCTGCTTTGCCTGGTGTTAGTAGGGCCTTCTCTTGGTTATGTTCATAAGAAAATATTTTTGTTTTAATAGGAAAACAAATGGAAATGTATCCTGGCCCTTTGCCCTTGGCCAAGGGGCAAACATTTCTGTGGGAGCTCCTTGTTAAAATATTAACAGCACTGACTACACAGAGAAAAACAAACACAGTGGTCCTGGAGACTGCAGCCTCCAAATACAATCTCAGGGAATAAATTTCTCATAACTGACCTAAAAAATACCCCCAACCTATTGTGGAGTTGAATTAGTTTCCTTTTTTTTATCATATTACCAACCTTCATGCTGCTAAAAGTGATGGATCAGGGCACAGAGGCTGAGACCTGGGGCTCGTTATCACGGGCACGGACGGGAAGCGTACACTGACATGCCCTCCGAGCTGCCTGGCATTTGAGTCCCGAGGATGGAAAATAAGCAGCATGTAGGGATTTCAGCTGAGGATTTTCTCCTCCAGTTGAGCTGCTGTGAGTGGGGAGACAGTAAATGTGTGCTCAACTTGTGAAAAATGAGAGGAAGCCTATGGATGTCTAACATTTTTCAGACACAGTGTAAGTCTCACTGTGCTCCTAAAGTCTTGTACGCTGGAGCATGGAGCCCCCTCTGAAGCATGGCTGCTGTATTTTACACTGACAGTGGATATTAATTCCCCCCTTAAAATATAACAGGACTAAGCAACTAGGAAAGAGATGTTTTTCTTCCCTTCTTGTATGTCTTCAGGAAAGGTATGAGCAGACTTAGCCACACGTGTTGAGAAATAAATTGCTCTGAAGAAATGAGCTTTATCTCAAATCCTCCCTCAAGAGCCAAAGACTTAAGCAGAAGGTCACTAATCCCCAGACTCAGCAGAGATCATTTAGCTTGTTTGTCCTTTTTGCTTTATTAATCTGAGCATGGGTTTGCTCAGTTTCCCCTCTGCGCCCTCTGGTTCCTGCCTCCCCTCTCAACCTCCCTGTGCCAAGCCCAGCCTTTGCGGCAGCAAAACACACTCCCTTATAGCAATGGTCATTTGCAGCATCCCACCACTACAAAGGCCTCCTCAACAGGCTTTCCAAACCCCTCATCCTCCTCAACTTTGCATCTTATTTATCTTCTTGCTCAGCTTAGTTTTATCTAAAACCCATAAAAGATGATGGAAAGACTGCCACTGATTTAAATGGCTCGTGTCCTGTATGTTTTTGCATGTTTGTCCCAAAATTTGGGGAGCAATATGCTCGTCATTGCCTTCTACACACTGCTGCAACTGAACAACAGAGCTGGCCTCTCTTGGTAGAAAGCGTGATCCCCAGAAGGCATACATGTATAATTAGGCAACATCCCCAGGGTCATCTGCAGCAAATGCTCCCCAGCCCTGGCTCTGCATGCTTTCTTTTCGAAGGGATTGCATCAGGCTTGAAAAGACTTCGACAGAGGTTGGTGGTGTTGCCGTAGGAGGTGTAAAAGCTTCAGAGGTTATAGAGTGGGTAGTCCTGAACTCTTTTTAAGTGCTTTTGTTTTCTTCCATTGAGCTGTGAAAGCTCTGCTTAGAAGGCTGTATCTTGTTGCCAAATGTATGGCTGTGCATCTCCATTTAATTTGCTGTTCTGACCGCACTGTAATTACAAGAGAACAAGCCCACTGTTTGGGAGGGAGCTCTGCCCTCCCCACTCAGCTACTGTGGGAACAGCCTGGTTTGGTGAATCAGCCTTGTGCCTCGTCATTTATCCCTGACGCCAAAGTGCCAGCAAGAGCCCTTTTCCATCCTGAGTGGGATTTTCAACCACACACCCAGCAAGCATCCATGCTCTCAGGTCATCTGGAAGCACTGCCAGCAGAACTTAACTAATTGGCAAACTGCTGGAATGTGCAAAATAGGGTCACTTTTTTCCACCACCCAGCCAAGGAGCAGGTGAGGCCTTCAGCCACAGCAGCAGTTATTTTCACAGCCTCTCCAGCAGTGCATTTGCTAGCACAGAACAGTGTTTTAGCCATCAATAATTAAAAACAGAGATGTTCAAAATCATGAACAAGGAACATTTTGTGCCCTTTATTCTTGCTCTTTCTATAATGCTTGTGCCCTTACACACCAATTTGCAATGTGCAGTCATTCACATTACTTCTAATCTGTAAATGTGAATTTCTCTTCATATTCTGAGAGTCCAAAGTTTTGCACACTGTGTGCTAAAGGCTGATTTCCATGAGACAGGAGCACCGAGCTGCTGCAGGAGGAGGAGGCGACTGGAGCCAGGTTTCTGGGTTGCAGCCAGGTACATGGCAGGTTGTCCTTTCCCACCCGTAATGAGTGATGTGCCATGAGTCCTGGAAAGGCACAGCTTCTCCAGTCTTCACTGAAATGTTTTTTCTCATAGCACTGGGCTAAGCAAGCAGCGTTCCCATTCTCAGAAGTGTTTTGGGGCTGCTCTCTGCAAGGAGGTGATGATCATATCTTCTTGCCAACCTAATGTACCTTTGGGTGTGATGGTTGCTGTCCTGGAAGAGGCACTAGGACTGAGCCGTGACCCTCCAGAGCTAAAAGCATTAACAGTGGAGGCAGCTTAAAACCTGCTTATCCCCTGTCACTGGAAATCAGGCCTGGCTTGGAGAGGACAAGAGTGGGGAGGGTTGAAAGGTGATGAACAGGAGACAGTTCCACAGGCAGAGGCTGTGCTCGACACCAGCGAGACGGCTTGTCAGCATGAACCTGCCGTCTACAGACATAAGTGAGAGCACAAATATAAGAAACGTGTGATCAGCAGAGAGGCAGGTATATAACTCCAGAGACAGCTGCTGCGGTGGATGGCTTTGGGGCTGTTTTTTTTTCCTGGGGAAAACTCACTGCTTTTCTTATCTGATGTGACACTTGCCTCCAGCTCCGAGCAGTATCACATGCTCCTTGGATCTTATTTTTCTGTCTCCTTTCTATCAGATGTAGGCTAAGACGGGAGGGGCTTATGTATCAATCGCAGGCTCTGCAGCATCACTCACCGTTCTTGCTGCTCTCTCTGGATGAAATGTATGACAGCCAGTAAGATCACCTGGGCCTCCGAAGGGAAACGCTTTTAACAGACCAGTACCAGTAAAAGATAAGTTGGCAGGCACAGCCAGAAGGTTTGGGGCAGCTCAGGAAGACTTGTACCTACCGAGACAGGACAGGAGTAGGGCAAATGTGATTATTAGAAGGAAACTTCACCCTAGAGCATCCAAGACTCAGGAAGGCCAGCCAGACGGAAGGCTCTTTAACGAGACTGTGAGAAACTAGAGGTAGATGTAAAATGGATTCAAGCTTTTTCAAAATGCAACAGAATTGTTGAAATGTGACTGAAGGAGATTATTGTTTCTGCTGATGTCCAGGACTCTTTTCTATTGTTTAAAAAGGTGGCAAGGTCTTTTTTCCCTTCTCCATACTAGGTATTACAGATAACTGGATGATTTTCTAAAAAAAACCCTGGCAAAAAAGAGAATTGATTAATAGAGCAATCGTTTTGACTGTGTTTTCCTAGTCCGTTACTTGATTATTGGAATGGGTTCAGGCTAGCAGAGTAACTATTTAATGAAACAAAAGTCGGTGATGTCCTCCTTCTCATCCTTGTACACATTGACCAGCAGCTCTTTGTGCCATGATTACTGAAGAATTACTAAGTGCTTGCCAATTTTTCATAGCCTGGGCTATTTTTGTTCTGGTAGTGAATAGAAAAACACGGACATGTGGTAACCAGTAAACTTTGTGGTACCATCTATCTGAACACAGAGCCCAGATGAGGAAAATGGGGTAGAGGTTGGGGAATTCCTTCTTGAAAACTCATGAATGATAAATGGAGCCAAACCAGTGTGTGACATTCTCACCGAAAATGGTTTCTAACAAACACACTAATTGTTCTGCTGAAAACAACATTTCATATTTTCATCTGTAGAAAAGTTCTACTAAAACACAGATTTTTCTTGGTTTCCTCTAGAGGGCAATGTCATATAAATATTTTAAGCAATTTTTGGGTTATGTCAACCGGGAATTTAGCCTGCCTTATCTAAAAATTCATAAGATAGCAGTGAAAAGTGTTTCTTTACATGCTTTTTAGGATGTGTATATACGTAATATAATAACTCCAATTGTTTCTCGGGCTTGTTCAGTGCAGTAGCTAATCCCTTTAAGGAGCACAGAAAAATGTGCATTTTGGGCAGATTTGTCTATGCCAGAATACAGAGAGGGAACTGCTCATGAAGACCTGACTCTCTCTTATACCTGTGCAGCTTCAAGGACTTCCAGCAGCTACTCCTTATTTAAACTATTGTAAAAGAGATTATAATCCAGTCCTCTGAGAATGAAGTTACCAGTTGCTGTAGTTTATGTTGGTAGCTGGAACTTCAGTGCAGAGGATAAATCTAAATAGCAAGTCTAATTGGTCCATAGGACCTAGGAAACAGAAGGGTTTTGTGTTACTACTTATTTCTCTAAGAATTTAGGTATTCCCAAATTCATTAACTGAATTGCTTGTTTGGTGGATGTTAGTAACAGTGCAATTTTCAAATTAATTGTCCACATAAACAGCTGCTAAAATTAGTATGAATCAAAGGTGGCCACTCTGGACCTTAATAATTGAACGTAAGGGATATTGTCTCCTATTTTCAGTCACTGTAGTGTAAACAGTGGCAAATATGGATAAAGGCTGTTTTGTTTTCCTTAAAGCTCAGATGTATGATTTGAAGCACACTTACATGGGCACAAACTTATTTTTTGTTGTCTCTATCATTATCTTATCTTCCTCCCTTCCCCCAAACCAACACTACTAAAAGGGAAATTTGCTCTTCGTTTCCCAACATGAAAATGGCTTTAGGGAAATCCTTTTAGAATTAGTCTCCTTTCCCCTCCCGATGGTGACTAGTCCTCTGGAGCATCACCATAATGGCCTTATTGGATTAACTTGCAAATCCCATATGTTTACTGAATTTGTGGGTTAACATTCTTTGTAAAATATCTCTTCCAAAAAAGTAATGGGCAATCTGCAGTTGCCAAGTTCTCTAAATGAATAAACCTGTTTGTTTGTTTTTCCCCAAACAGGAAAAGCAATTAATTCAAGTAAAATACTTATTCCCAGAAGCACTCTATTTGAAAACAAGGGCCTGTGAATAAAATGAGAATAGTTGCATTGGCTTCAAAGCCAGCAGGCATTAGGTAGCAAAGCAGGATTTGCCCTCTACTTTTGAGTAATAGGAGCTCTTAAAAAAAATCTGAGGACACAGCTCTTCTGTAGCCTTTACAAGTTAAATAGGTGAGAACGGCTTTTTAATTACTGCTGCTGGCCCGGCAGGACTTTTTCTTAAACCATCTCTTAGCAGAAATATGATAAGGAATTTGTAAATTTTAAGTTGCTGGGAAAATGCTTTAGAGACACTAATGACAACTAAATATTCTTAGTTTAATTTCTAATACTGCATGGATCTGATTAATAGCTTCGGGTTTGAACCATATATTCATCGCCATCTTGGTTTAGGGCTTGTGTTTGGATCTCACTGGCTCTAAGGTATCTGACAGCTTAATGCTTAATCACGGGGGATTATTCTTTGCCTTCGGCTGGAAGGAGCTATGTTTGGGGCTGTAGGTGTGTGGGGAGGTTGATTCACCCTGAACTGGGATCTCCTGCATGTGGGTAGCCCTGGGAATGTCACGTTTGCATGCCTGCAGGTACTGAAGGAATGACCAAGGGTTCATGACTTTGTCTCCTCCTGCTCACTCTCTCTGCCTTCCTTGCTGGCAAGTGGTCTGAAGCGCAGCTTTCTTGCACAGAAAAACAAAGCTATGCCTGAGGTCTCTGACAATACCATAACACTGTGGGCTTCAGTGGAATTCCTTCCTGTTTGCCTCCATGGAAATGGGGAAACTCTGCCTTCCAAATTTCCTCCCGCCACTCCGTATCTGACCCAGCAATACACAAAATTGTCTCCTCTCTGATCTGTTTTTCAATCATTGCCTGCATTCGGAAAGTAAGTGGTATGTACAGCAGAGCAGAAAATTATTTAGTAAACTAGCCAATTTAATCAGGATGAACTATGTGGTTAAAATAAATCAGATTTCAATAATTCACAAGTTATGCTGTGGAGAAAGAAGGAATAATAGTTAAAAAAAGTGTACGGATGCCAAATGGATCAGAAGTTAATGGCTGGTGTGTGGAATTCAAAATCAACAAGGGTTTACTGCAGGGCTCTGCCTTTAAAATGACTCTGTTTTAAATAGTGTATGAGAAAGGCAGAATCTCAGTGTTTTATTAGAATTATTTTGTGACTCAAATGCTTTCTCTGATGACCCAAGAATCAAATTATAAACTGTGGAAATGAGTTTAAGGGGCATCATCATTAAAAAAAAATCATGCAAATTAGTAGAGAAGTAAACCTCTGTCTTGAGAGGTGGATTTCAGAAGAGCTTGAAACCAAAAGAGCGTAGAAAAAATTTAGGGTGGAAGAAGGACTTAGAAATTCATTAATTCTGGCTGACTGAATAATAATCAAAAGTGTTTTGTCTAATATGTAATTAAATTAGATATCATTATCTGTTAAAACAGTTCAGCCAGCTCTAATAACCAAGGAAACCAATCCTGAGTCCAGGTGTCAGCTCCCATACTCCCTGAGGTTTTCCCAGCCTCGAGGATATTCTCTCATTTAATGATAGCATCAATAGTAGTATTAAAGAATATGAGGAGGCATATTCTCCATTTTTATATAATCTTCAACATGCACAGCAGCACAGTTGGGACCCACTGGCCATGTACTACATTAAAGGAATCATGTGTGACTTGGTGAAACCAAGTCAAGATCTCCTTTAGATTAAAAAACATCCTATACCTTGCTATATACAAGTCATAAGTTGGTGTAAGAATCCAGCATGAACCCAATATAAAGAACTAGTTTATATTCCATGTAAAATTTTGTGTTCTTCACATATTACTGGCATTTGCTACTTGCTTGTAGTTCATGTTGCTTTCTGCAGCGAGCCCGTGATAGTTGCCTGCTTTACCTTCCTTCCATTTCTCTTCTACATGCTTCTATTTTAAACCATTTACTTGTAAGTTATGTTTGCATAAACTGTGTATGACTTAGAGCTATGTATCTAACTCCTGTCAGGGTCTTACAGCCTAATGGATAGCACGTGTGGACTTAAGAAGTGTTGGGTCCTGGTCAAGCTTTTTCCCCCCACTGCCAACAAGTCACGGCACCGGTGACAGGGAGGTGATGACAGCAGCTCACTTTCTGCAGGTGCTT